CGCAATCTGGAAGAGTTAAAGTTGTAAAAGTAAAATATGAATAGAAATTCCGGAGCTTGTTTTGCTATGACGTACCGAGTGCGCCACAACTTCTGCGGCAAATTTTTAATAGCAATGTATATGTATGTTACCGTGAAAGTCCGAAAACATTGTCAGGATATACCAGCGAATGTCAACATTCGCCAAGTAACTTGTGGTTAGTTTTGGTTAGTTTCGTCTTACACATGGTGTATATTCAAATGTATTTTTTTGAAAAAGCAAATTAAATAAAACTGAATAGGTTATTACTTTTTTGCTTAAAACATGGAAGAAGTTTTCAAATGAACATATTGAAGTTGTCGAACTTAAAACAAATACAAAAAATATATATCTAATATTAATATAAAAATAACACTTTGAATTACACAAAGGCATGAAATCCTCATTCTAGCACATTTCGATAGTCTGTACGATGACCAATTTATTACCAAGTTCACAATATTTTTGTTGTTTGGAGTAGTAGACCCTCTTTTTGAATTAATAAGGTTGTGCTGCGTAGTCAGAACTTGAGGCGTGGTTTGAGTTGAAGATGAGTTGTAGATCAATCAGCATTTCAGATGAGGACGTGCTGGGTTGCGGATTAGTCAAAACGCCTTAGAAGTATGTAGTCCAAATTAGTACTTCATTTAGTTTTAACAGAAATTACTTCAGAAACGATTTTAGAGATCTTTCTTGTCGCCTACTTCTTATTAGAGTATTTAACATTTCAAGAAATTGATCATTATTTACTTCGCACTACACTACACAAAAGCCTGTTAGAACATGTCGTTTCTGACATCTCCCGAAGCTTATATGTGTTTGCCGACTTACAATGGTGAAGGAACGAATTTATAATAAAACCAATAATTATTCGGTCTTTCTCCAATTCATTTCAAATGCAACATGTATATTTTCAAGAGACCCTTGCTATAATTACATAATAGAGTTGGGTTATTGCACTATCCTACATTCCTACTTTTAATGTCATGTTAAGTAAGACTGGTATAATGTTCGTTTACAAATTTTGCCCATTTCTTTAATTTCTTCTCATAATCCTCCCTTACTCCAAGTTTTGCCTCTTTTTTACAGAATCCCTGCAATACTGTCCTATTTTTTTTGGTCTTCCACCTTTTTTTTCTTTTTTGTTTTTTTGTTTCGCATACCTGTTTTACTTGTTTTGTGTTTTCCAAATTCTGTAGTGTCCAACCAGTCCAATTGTCTCCATTCTATGTATTCCAGCGTCGATTCTACCTCAAAGTCGTTTCTTACTTCCGTGTTTCTTATTTTATCCACTTTTGTGACTTCGCAGGGCTCGAATTTTGTTTATGTTGGTATTGAATTGAATTGAAACTTGTGACCTGCTGCATTAATACATCATCCAGTTTTACATATATTTCTTTGTGTTCATTTCCCATTCCCATTGCTTCTGTCTTGTTTCATTTCGTTTCATTCCAAAATCCAGCAAAGTATTATTCTAGATTGTCATATAATTCTACAAATCTATCTCTTTTCCGGCTATTACTACTAGATCGCCAACAAATGTTCCTTCGGATACTTTTACATTTGGCATGTATAGCTTACATTATATTTTCTTACGGCTGAGGTACAATTCTTTACTATTTCATCAATATAGGCTGTAAAGAGAAAAGGATTTGGTCCTTCTCATTTACTTAATCCTGCTTTGGTTGTGAATGATTCTTTATTTTGATAACATAGTTAATATTTTCTTTCTATATATTTTTCAACACCGTTATCATTTTGTTGTCGATTCCTCTTTCAAGTAGAGTTTTCCGTAATTTGCGTCTTGGTACTTAATCAAACGCTTTCTATAAGTCAATGTAAATATATTTCATTACCTTGATCTATTGCCTTTTCAGCCATTTGTTCTAACGTGCATATGTCATCCTGTAGATTGAGATTTTTGTGAAGTATTTTCTATCATCGGTCTTATCTTTCTGTCCAGGACTTGTTCATATATTTTAACCGCTGAACATAGAAGATTTATTCTTCTGTAATTATTACAGTCGAATTTATCCCCTTTCCTATTTTTTTTTGGTTTTAAAAGATGTCTTCGAATTTTGAGGTATGTATTCTTCGGAGCACACTTTATTATATATAAGTTGGAAAGGATTTCCATTCCCCTTTCTTCAACGTGTTTCATTATATTGTTTGCTATTTTATCGCGTTCCGGTGCGTTTCCATTTTTGAGTTTTTTGAATTCCTTTATTACTCCAGAAAATTTCCGATTCCTTTGATCGAAACATTTTTTTCTGTTTGCTGAAACAAGGGCAAGGTTTGATTTTTTTATTGCTAATAATTCTGGATTGGGCCATTGAAATGAAATGAGCTAGGTATCATTTAGAAGGGCATGAATTGGGCTATATTTTTCCTGTGATAAATAATAACAATATCCGTTTGGTAGTACACGCTAGGGGGCGTTGTCTTACAACTTAACAAACATGAACGTTAAAAGAAGAGCTAACAAAGTCAATAAACACTGCATTCTGTTAGTTATACGAAAAAATAAGCTTCTATACCTAAATGTTAATTTCCAATAACTCTTGTTTACAGAGTGGACGTGGTTATATCGTAAAGTTCAGAAAGATTGCAACGATAGTTTTCCATATTTCAGTTTTTATGATCTATACACTTCGAATTGTTTGTAAATTAGGCTCACACTAATTTGTTTATAATAGGGAACATGCGAATGAAGCTGACACTCCCAGAAACCTTGCCAATCATCATGGCTACTCCTATGGAATACAGACCATAACTTCCGACATAGCCATTCTTGGTGGGACACCTGGTGTATAGAGAACCAAATAAATAAAAAATATTTTAATGCTGAAAATTCTGTTTTGGACACACGTCGCGTCGTTATCGGATATTTTTTGTTCGCATATTCTTTTGTTATTTTATGTTATAATACTTTCTCTAACGATCCAAAATTTCAATTTCACGGAAAATGATAGCGGCACAAAACGGCAATGTGTTGTGGGGTATTTGTTGTTAGTTGCTGCGGAAAATAATTTTTTAGAATATATCGCAAAATAATCACTCTTTATTTGCTATTTTTAGACATTTAATTAACACTTAATTTGGTAATGAGCCAATATTATCTAATTATTTAATGTAATTACTTGATAGTTAATTATTTCCGCTCCTTGCTCTGTGTAAATGAAATTATCTAATTTGTTTGAGGATTATTTTGAGGTTGCTATTAATTAATTAGTTATAAAACTTATTATGAATAATTTATTAATTACAGTATAATTTACCATCTGGGTTGTCTTGAAATTAATCATGCAAACTTGACGTCGTTGAATGTTCAAATTTATTTCGTTATCCCTCTTCCACATATTCTGACGTTGCTGCCAGCCATTAGCAAAAACTCCCTTTATCTGGATTCTTAAAGACTATGATTTCCGGAAGTGGCGAAATAAATTGGGAGACAATTTAGACCCAATCTCCCAGAAAACGTGTGGATTATCCCCGATTAAACGAATTTGAGGCAGAGATAAGGTTTCCTCAATTGCGTAGGATTAAAGTCATCCGCATACGCAAAATTAAAAGCAAAATGGTGTTTGATAATTTAATTGGATATTATTCTGCCCGAAAAGTATACAATCAACGCTGAGTAGTGAAAAAGCCGCTACGGCGAAGGACAATATATTTGGAAAAAAATTTGTATGTCGCTTTGCCGCCACGTATCAATTTTACACCCTTATATATTTTTATTAAACACTAAAACCTCTAATAGCCCAATTTACTGCTTTTTATGCCCATCATCGGCCTGGCTTGAAGTAGCTATAAAAATCGTCTATAATATCTGTATAATACTGACCACGAAAGTCTATATGGATGATATAGATGTGCAAAATAGCAAAATCAGTGTCTTAAATAACTAAATATACATACTTAAAACATATTTTAAGTGAATATTCATTATATGCAAATAGATAATTCATGTTCTGGGCGTGGAACCGCACTGCATTTAGATCAATATTTACCGTTTGAATCAATGCAAAAGTATTTATACCACAATAACAATTATTTTATAATCCCCCATAACTTTTTTTACTCCTTACTTTAAAATACCCAATTATGCACTGATCGAGTGTGACTTCGAACGTTTTCGTTACTTTAGTCACGACTTTAGGAGCGATCGAAAATTAAGTGCGAATGTGTGAAGAAAAAGAAGTATGCTATTGCAACACATTGATAAACTTCTTCAGCCATACGCTCCCCTAGTGAGGTTGGATTCATCAAACTTATTTCATAAGACAATTTTTTATTATACTTTTATCGTTAGCTGCTGCAGTACGATATTTTCTAGGTTTTCAAAGTCTGCTTTCGTGTCTACGTCTATCCAACTGGGTGAGTACACTCCTAAGCGACTAAGTTATAGAGACCAGTAGACAAAAATTTTGAGATGAACATTAATCCGAGGCTAGTTGATCATCACCGAACCAGAAATCTAGAAACGAGCTCATTTTTTAACTTAATAACAATTTGTCAGTAGTATTCTCTTATTGTTTAAAATAAATTAAAAATAATATGTGGAAAGCCATGTTAATGGGTTACAATTAAGATATTAAGATATTTGTTTAGGTAATATGTGAAGTCAAATTTTCACAATTTATCGGCATATATAATCGTATATAAATATACTTCTATTCCTTTGAGCCTTCCTGTGGAAATACTTCATTCTTCCAAACCTTTATTGCTGGAAAGAGCTAAAGTTGGCTAAATAATTGTGTTTGATTTCACAAATCACTATTACAACAATTCAAATTTATTATGGACCTATTTTTTATAAGATAGTATGCATGTATCCATAATTCAACATACTGCACATAATAATAATAATAATCATCTTTATTTCAAAATGTTTTTAAAATATTACAGTTCCAAATATAAATAAATAAATAAAACCACACTAAAGTAGCTTAAGGAAACCGCATTTTAGCTTAACTGCTTACCCAATCAGCTGATTCTGAAGGAAGGAAGTTTAATCCAAATTGTAACACAGACTTGAAGAAGTGCGACTAAACTACTGGTGCTTACGAACAATCACGAACGAAAATCTGATTAATTGACGGGGATTTCTAGTAATTATTCCCCTGACATCCTGCCATCAAAAGCTAACCGTTGCGACTGAAGGTAGAAAGAACGCTGGCGACTCGACCGGTGTTATAACGTCGTGTATGTGATGGTCTGGTACCCATAGGCCGGGTGCCGGTGCCGCGAGGCATACCCTCTTCCTTCCATGCATCAACCGGCAGCCACCGGCTACCTACAGATGGTTTCAATGGCGCAATCGGACGCGTCCGTTGCACCAGGAGCGCAATTTCTCGTGGTTGAGGGTTTATGAATGGAGTTTCCTTTCCGGATTATTTTAAGTTAATCGCAATGACTTTGTAGGAACTTATATGGGTACTAAACATTTCACTTTGGCTAAAAGATAAAATAATCTTTTGCTAAAGCTGAGAGATTTCCTCAGGGATTAAGATTTTCTTTGGAATTATAGGGCTACATGTTATATAGGTGAAGTCGTTTCATCTTCCGAAAACATTCAAATTATTCCACAATAAATTAGTTTAGTACCTTACAAAATAAATTATAAATAATTTCGTTAGTTTAGAATTTTTTTTTAATGTTAAAAAACCCGAATGCGTTGTAAGATTTTTTAAAAAATATATTCTTCATTTGAAAACTTTAAAAGTTCGATTGGGTATTTTTTTTAATAGTGGTTTGTAAACATAATAAAAAGGGAAAAACATTTTGTTTTTCTTTATTGCCATTATATTCAAATGTCGTAAATGTCTCAGATAATATTTAAACTAAGGTTATTGCACTGTTATGATAAATAATTCAACCTAAATACCGCAGAGTTCAATCCTGGGCCCGATATTTTTTATGTTTATATTTATATATAATTTATATTAATAAATTAATTTGATGCTATTAATATTTATGATTTAGTCACAGCTGTCGCAATATATAAACTAACTAAAAATTAATATATAAACTCGCTGAAGTTTTTAAGAGATCCTGCTCTTTTCTGTGCGACAAATGCGCCCCATAAAATTGTTTTTTTTGTTTACTTGTTTTTACAAAACTCTATAAATTATAAAAGAACTGAGATATGACCACAACCATATATAAATCTAAATTGGATGTCTGTTCTTCTCAAAGTACGGCCCTTACTAGAAAGAAAACTAGAGAATATTTTTTAAAAACAAAAAGTTCCAAATTGGAAAATATTATTGAGTTTGATTTCGCGAATCATATATTGGATGTTTCGGAAAACGCCAGATTTTTGGATATGTCCATTGATTAAAATTTGAACTAGGCATGTCATATAAATCAAAATCACGGTTCTTGGTAAATATTTAGATAATAGAACAACACCAAATAGTTTATTTTGTAAACATTGACTCTGCCCCTAAGTATGGAATTATATTTTTGAGTCCTCATAGTAGAATACAAGAAATTTTTGTACGGCAATAAAGAACAATTCGAATTGTGAATAAAATGGGCTGGGTTCACTCATGTCGAAATGTGTGTAAAGAAATCTTTACTGTACACGTACATAGAAATTTGAACTTTTTGCTAAGGTAATACTAAAGCAACAAGAGCTGACAATTTCATGTACTTGTTGCATACTATACTTTTTCTACGACCGTTAGTTTTTGGGTACATTTTCGCAAAACAACACAAATACATTCACTGACATGACCGTCAGAATTGACAAACTTCAAAAATCAAAGCCTGGAAAATATTTCCGAAAACATCCGATTGCTCCCAAATCCGTGCGGTAAAATTCCGGAAACGTACGAAGTGACTCGGATTCGTGGGAAACGAAACTGACGTGGTAAGGTGACGCTTCCTGCACGCTCGATCGGTGTGTAATTAGGCATTTTACAGACGGGAGTAGAAAAATATTTTTAAATGTTCTAGATACCAAATTATATTTTGTATGCAAATTATTGCCTTTTTGTTTTTATAGTGATTTGTGATTTGTTTAGAAAAATTTTGGCTATGATGTACTCTTATGGAATCCATAAATTCCTGTAATTGTTGTTCGTTATCATCAGCTACTATTCCATTTAATGCAAAATGACTAATGCAACAGGAAATAGGCCATAGTCCACGTTAATATTTTTACTGCGTTCGGACAGCTCTGTGGTATCTTCTTCGTCACTCGATTTTGTTGTTTTAAATCTGTAATGATAAAATTTAACATAGAAATTCTTCAACTTTGCAGTATACGGAATGTTGAATTAGCATAAAAAGATAGGTTATTGTTAATGAAGTAGTATATAAATGTTTCAATTATTCTATAACAAGCGTAATGTGTAATGTAATTATAAAATACTTTTATTAAAGTGGTTTTGAGTGCAAAAATGTCACAACATACAAATTCATTTAAAGGTAAATTTCCAGAACAACTATAATATCTTGTTATAATGCTCTTACAAAAAATAAAATTTTATTTTTATTATGGCATTCTACACCACTAATAAAATCATTTTGAAACAATTATAAAATAAATGTAGCTCAAACGTAAATAGTTTTATTTAAACTTATTTATTTAAACAGTTTTATTAATCAGTCTCATCAACAACTTAAGGCACTTTAAAAAAATGTATCAGTTTCTAAAGCTATTGATGACCATGGCAAGCTTTATTCGACTATTTGCTCTTAAAGGAAGTAACAATAAGGCAAGTATATAACTATTTAGTCGAATAATAAAATTTATGTGCTTCTTGGGAAGTGCATTCATACATTGTTGGAAACAGCAAAATAATGAAATATTCACTTTTGAATTGTTGCCTCTGTCAATAATACACATTAAGCAAAGTCTTATGAACATTACCATAATGTAATAGAAGCGCAATAAAAAAACGAAGCAGAATAATAATGGCATTTTCGTTTAGCAGCCCGCACTCTTAGTGCAACCGCAGTTTCCGTCGTCTCCATATCCGTTTAATTCACAAAACTCCGCACAGGAAAGCCGCCGTGTGAAATATTTCGAAGCTTAATTTGAAATATTTTAAAGGACTATCCGAAAAAAAAATCGTTTTTGCTATGTAGGTGGGAAGGTTTTTTTAATAGTACTTTATAGTGACAACGCTCTACTAATCTCAACTTTAATAATTAGTATAGCTGCCACCTGCCGTTTAATCAGAAACCGAGTTTTGTGTACGCTTCGGTTTCTTCGTCTCCACCAATTTAAAATGTTAAAATTAAGCAAATGATTTAGGCAGGTTCTTCATAATATTCAAATTTCTCAATTTATCGTCTATAAGAATAATTCGACATTTTCCTCATTTCATCTATTAGCAAAATTGCAAGATTCGTTATTTTTAATTTAAATAGTAATCCTCTCCATATATACGCGAAATTGTGTTTTCTGTTTAATTTAAACAACCTGCATTACTAGTGCTGCTTTTATCACTATTTTAAATGGGCTTGAAATATTAATTCGGAAGCATTAACTTCACTATAGTGCATTCATAAATCATTCCTGATATTTAAAACGCTGTAAATTCGAAGATACGGATCGAATTTCATATTTGCTTTACTTTAATTTTGACATACCTTACCTTACGGAATATTGTGGTCAAAATACAAGATTCTCAAAAAGTTTTATATCTGGAATTTGCATAGTCCTATTATGGTTACTTTCGAAAATACCTTCATACTGTTGCAGGTTGCTCCAAAATTGTTAGAAGCATATTCTAGCACACAATAAATGGTCTTGATCATGAACGGAAACTCCTTTACTCTGAATCCGTAAAGAGAGGTATTTTTATTTTAGTAATGTCGACACCTTACACATTTTAAAGTTTGGGTTGTTACAGTCATTATTTGTTATGTTTAGGAAGTTAATGTAAGAAACCGAACAAAAGGAAAGTGTCATCTGAAGGTATTTATTATTATTTATTATTATTTATATAATTATGTCTTTATTATCGGAGAATTGGATATACCTTTTCTAGGAATTTAGATTTTAAAAAACTGTGTGACAAGACGTCAGTTAACGTTTAGTATAACTTGCTTAAACATTCGCTGGGAAGGAGACAAAAATATTTGAATCAAATTTGGGATTTAGTCCGACACCCATGACACTATAAAGAAAGGGTCCAGAGGAAATAGAATATTCTTTTTGATTGTGACTTGAGGGAAGATTGGGTGCCAAACACTTTGCTGCTTTCAGCAAAAAACATTAAAGATTGCTCATCAGGACATGATAACTAACATTTTAAAAATATTGGTAGAAAAAAACCCTTTTTCCAAATATTCCATCAGGCAGCGCAATAGCTCATGAAAATGCTAGTTATCACATCCGATTAGCTAAAAAAGTACCAAAGATCAGTAGCAAAAAAGTGATATTGCAGAAGTTCTTTAGTCCACATGACATTATGTTTGAAAACACTAAAAAAACAACTATCTGAAGTTTTAAGAACGAGATCGCATTATAAATCATATTTTCCTAGAAGAGGTCATAAGAAAATCTGGTAATTTACATCTTAGATGCGATTTGAATCCAATTGAAACTATATGGGCTGAATCAAAAAACAAAATTAGACACAATTATATAAACCCAAAAATGTCAGCCCATGTAATTGATGTAATATAATGTAATTAAAACTCAGTATGAAATAATAATTATAACAATTAAACTTGGAACAACGTAAAACCATTATGTATGTATTTCATATATTTAGCCAAAAAATGCCTAAGAGCAGATAAAAATGTTTTGGTAAAATGTCTAATTACACACCGATCTAGCGTTCGAGAAGCGTCACTTTACCATGTCAGTTTCGTTTCCCACAGATCCGAGCCACTTCGGACATTTCCGGGATTTTACCGCACGAGTTTGGGAGCAATCGGATGTTTTCGGAGGTATTTCCCATGCTTTGAATATTGACGTTTGTCAATTCTGACGTTCATGTCAGTATTCTTGTTGTTTTGCGTAAAAGCACCCAAAAACTAACGGCAGAAAATGTATAGTATGCAACATATCCGGTAAACTTTTTAAGTCACTCGTTTATTAAACACTCGCTCTGCTTGTGTCAAATAAACTCGTAAGTCAAATGCCGTTTACCGCACTTGTTGTATAATATATTATAAGAGCATTATTACAGTCACGATGTATGTATGCCTTAAAATTGAATCCTCTCTATATTAACTAAAGGTC